TTCTCTTCAACTCATAATTCTTTCACAATGCTGGATCTCCCTGCTGTCCTTCGCACCAGATTTATTTATACAATTGAAGATAGTTTAAATCAGTATATGGGACAATGCATTGGTCTGCAGTGATTGTTCTATTCATTAAGGTTAAAAGCCTTCTGGGTGCAGCCCCCCCCCCCCCCCCAGCTCCCCTATACTTACCTGAGACCCATCGCGGTCCAGCAATGTGCATGAGAGCTGCGGGTCTCTCTCTCCTCATTGGCTCACACAGCAGTCATCCATCCGATATTCTCATTGTGTGTACAAGGCTTTAATTTATTGATTGCATTGATGAGATGACTTTTGCGTTGAAAGTGCCAAAGTGCCTTGGCAAAGACTTTCATGGTTGAATCATCAGTCATTCTTTTCACAAATGCTGCAGATTAGAAGATTTTAAAAAAAACTTTTGAAATTAAATACACGTTAAAAAGCTTGAGATTTTTGTGATTGGTGATAAGCTTTTTGTACCTTAACACTAGAATCTGTGCTAGTTTACTGCCCTTTTCTTATATGTAAGGGTTAAGTAACTTTCATGTGTACACAGAATTTACTTGTGTATCAAAGTACCATGGTACTCAGACATACTGTAGTGAAGAGTACTTCAAATGCATATAAATGCCTTACTGCGATTGATATCTGCCTGAATCTTACAGCGTGATGGCGAACTCAGTGTTCCATCTTCTATTTGACATTCATTATTGCCCATTATCTTCTGTATGCACAGCATAGGTCTGTTTATTTTGCTCATTTTGCAATGACAGCACATCTCACTCTAAAATATGTCTGGAATTGAAGTGCTTATTGTAAGCATTGTGATGCGCTTGAAGCCCCTTATTTTTAAGTACTTTACCCAGAAAATGTCTATAAGAAGATATTTCTCTTCTTGCAATCGACAAAGACAATTTCAGAAATGTACCCTGTCAACCCTGTTTTTTTTATATAGTATGTACATTTATTGAATGTCATCTTAACAAGTATAAAAGGAATACTGTTTGCAAGTGTATTATTTATTGCTGTGCGTTACTACACTAAAGCCAATCTGTAGGTTTGGCATATATGTTAGAGAGGAACTAAAGTCCCCTATATTCTCCTGACCTCCAGCAATGTAATGTTTGTGAGCTACCTCACCAGCATCAACGCCTTGCCGGTCTGCTTTCAGATTTATCATCTACGGCCATCTTTACTGGTCTGACTGGAATGATGTAACTCGCCTTCATACACCAGATGGACTTTTGTCTTTTTTTTTTCAGCCAGACTAACTATGTAACATGGAAGTTAATTTATCCTGGGACTGAGGCATACACATGTGCAGCTTGGTGTACATTCTAAAGTTTGCGAGCAGGAAGATTTTATTGCATAGTAGTTTTCTTCTGCAATATTAGGTTTTCCTGCTCACAAATTACAGAATTGGACAGGGAATGGCAAACAAAAGGTGTCAGTCAACAGAAACCGCCCGACATTTGGCCCATGTGTACAGCAGCCTATCTGACAGAAGCTGGCTCAACATCCAGCTTCTATTGGACAGGCATACTGTTAAAACAGTAGCCTAACGGAATCCGATCAGCGCTTCAGATGTGTTCTGGCGTGGGTGGTCGGTCCCCCTGTCAGTACTGTGTTCTCCCCACTGAACTTTTGAATTCTAACATTTGGGTTGAGCGAAAACAAAACTGCTTGTGTGTACCAGTCTTTAGGAGAATAGTTATCTTTACCACTCTGGTTAAATGCATCACCATTCCCCTTCTCTTTATCAAGAATTTTCTACTTGCAAGATTGTTTCATGTGGAGCAAAAGAGTGCTCTTAGATGCAGTATCTGGAATCGGTAGAGCCTCGGCATAGCCTTGAAAGTGATACCTGCTATGCGAAAGACATGGAATTGGACTGTAATGTGTCCTTCAGGCACTGGGCTTGCTTGGGCACTTCCCAGGTCCTGCTGTGCTCTACAGCAGTGATCTCCAAACTGTGGCCCAGGGGCTGGATGTGGCCCTTTGCTTGCCATTATCTGGCCCTTGGGGCATATATTTCTCCCACCTATACGAGGAGCTAATCCTCCTACTGACAGCAACATTTGGCCACAATATCTGCAACTGACACCAACGACGACAGAAGGAAATATTCCTCCCACTAACGCCAACGATGGGGCATTATTCCATCCACTGACACCAACAATGGGGCATTATTCCATTCACAATTCCATCCACTGACACAAATGAAGGAGTACTATTCCCACTGCCATTCACAATTACATCCACTGACACAAACGAAGGAGTACTATTCTTCCCGCTGACACCAACAGTGGGGCACTGTTCCTCCCACTGACACCAATAATGAAGTATTGTTTGCTCCCACGCTAGGACATTTTCTACACCCACTGGCCACAGTCCAGCCCCCCTATAGCCTGAAGGACAGCAAACTGGCCCTTTTGTTTAGAAAGTTTGGAGACCCCTGCTCTACAGGTTTAGGGCCTTGATACACTTGTTCCTGAAAACCACCTGGTGATCATGCTAGAAAGGTCCATGTTCAGGCATTTCCTGTTATAATGTGACACTTCCCTGGCTGTGAGTGGTATTCTGCATTGTCACACAGGCTTCTGATGGAGACTGCAGGTGGCCCTATATTATTTGTTTATTAGAGGTATTGTTTGCGCAGTGCTGTACATATATTGACTTTCATATCAATCTGTGCCTTCAAATAGCTTACAATCTAAGGCCTCTACCGCTCATGCATACATATACATACTAGTGCCAATTACCTACAGGCATGTTTTTCGGGGTGTGAGAGGAAACTGGACTACCTGGAGGGAAACCCATGTGCACAAATGGGGAGTATGCAGATTCCACGTAGGTAGTGTCATAGCTGGGATTCACCTTTTCTAGGTATGGCTTTGTCACCAAGAAACTTGCCCTAAGACAATTCTTCCATCACTGGAATGCATGCATATGGGCAGTAAGTGTCTGCAAAGATGCTCCTGGAGATCAGAAATATTGATATACTAAAAACGATAAAATATTATAAAAAAAAACGTTAATGACACTGCATCAGAATGCTGTTGCCATGCAAAGTGTTCTGTGTTTCAATCTTATACATTGACCATTATCTTTATGGTTGCATGTTTGTTAGGAAAAGTGAGGATTCCTCCTTCTTTATGTGTCACGGGGTGTCTGCGCATGGTGGTGCCTTGGTTTGATGGGGTTGTTAACAAACTAACCAGAATTGCTCTATTCATCATTTTGCATAATCCATTTTATCATGTATAAGCAAACTGACACCTAGGAGTCTGTTTTAAATCATTTTCACGGAATGCACACATTTTGGCTATAATTTTTGTAATAGCGCTAACGATCGCAGGAATTTATTACATAAATTACAGCCAAAATGTATGCAGCATGCACAAATATGTTTCAAATTTATCAAACATTCGTTGAGATGAATGCCAAAGTCTCAGACAAAGCACAACATTGTTAATCTGCCAATCCAAAAAAAGTATATGCGTAAAGCAGAACTCTGGGCAAAAACGTATTTACATGTTCATGTTGCTGATTTCCTACCTTTACTGAATATGTCATCCATCTTCTAGTTTACGCAGTAGTTGCTCTGAAATAGCCTGTTCATTTTCAAAATAAACCCTTAATTCTCTTTGGTTTTCTTTCTGTAAGACCGGTGGCTGCTATGCCTCCTATTCCCTTGGCACATCCCTTCTGTAGTTTTCTTCAGGAAGCAGTGATGTAATTCAGCCCCACTTGCAATGGTGGGAAGACTGTGACAGTCAGACGCATTCAACATGTACAGGCCTAGTGTACCCACCAACATTCACTACAATACCCTGTGGTTGATGAGGACTGTAGTTTCCTTTTAGTGCAGAGAGAGAGGATTTTCTTTTTTGGTTGCACTACTTAGGGGAAAAGAAAAAAAAAAGTTCTGCTCCAGAAATCTTGAGGCCTGTAGCTGAGATCAAAACTTTTCCACAATAGACTGCTATAGGATGATTTCACAAAGCTAACACACCAGGATGATGACTGCTATTAAAAAATATCAATGGTTATTTCAGCTGACTTCTTTAAGGCATAAAAGATTTCAGTGGTGGATAAAAAAAAGGTCTTATGCTTGTGTAATGCTTTGTGAATTCTGCCTTGTGTGTCTTGGACACAAATATGTAATTTGGTCTCCCACGGGTTCCTCCTAAATCAATATCTGTTGCAGTTGCTTAATGCAAACCAACATGCCCTCCACAAAACGTACTTTAAACTTTCCACTCATTTCTTTAGCCATTATTATAATGTTTTGCTACAGGTCTTGTCTCACCGAGCCTATAATTTTGGTGTAGGTAAGGCCTCATGCACATAGGGCATTTTTGCAGCCACTTTCAGGGCATCAGGCATTTATTTTTTTTTTTTATGCCGCACCATGTTATCGTAATGTGCCCATGCACACATAGACTTTTAGGAGCTTTTAGTGACAGGAGTGTTTACAGACAGGAAGAAAAACCCAGGACCAATGCATCGAACAGCAGCAGCGTTTTGGCAGAAAAACGTTTGGTGCCTGTGAACGCTAGGTACGTTTAGCATTTGAGTGTTAATGCATTTCAGTGGCCAAAATAAATAATTATTCTCGCCAAAAACATGAATTAACTCCCAAGTGCTTGACGCCTGCAAACGCATCTAAATTCTTGTAAAAGAAAAGCGCTAGACACTTTTACAAGTGTCAGGTGTTTTTTGCTCTGCAAAAACACTGCTGCCAGGAGGAAGGCTTCTAGGAGAGTTTTTTTTTTTTTTTTCAACACCCTGTTTGCATGGGGCCTAAGAAGGCTGGGTGAAGCAGACCAAAGTTGCTGGTGCGCACTACATGATCTTAGAGCAGGTAGTTTTTACATATATTAGCAGTTTCATCTTGCCGGGAGCTCTCTCTTAAGTTGTCATAAGTCGTATATTGTAAGTGCATATACCTGTATTAATATATATCTTGCTTTTAGGATATTGTAAAAAATGAAAACTGGAAAAATACAAGAACAAATAAAATGACACCATTCACCACGGCAAGCCCTGCTGTCAATAGCAGTGAATTAAAGGTCTGTATACGTCATCAGTAGATGCTTGTTATAAATAGTTTAAAGAGTTTCGGTCAAAGCAGTGTAAACTGTAGTTCAATGTTTCTAAATGTAAGATAATGCACCTAGGGAAAAATAATAATTTCACAGTGAAAAATAATGGAACAGTGCTGGGTAGCTCTACAGAGGAAAAGGATTTGGGGGTATTTAAAATCAGATTGCTTTCCCCACTGCCTGGCCACAATGTTTGCTCATTTAGTAAACAAAATTCCAGGATACATCATTACATAGGTCACCACCAGAATATGGTGTCCAGTTCTGGAGACTTCACTTACAGAAAGATATTGATAAGCTAGAACAAGCCCAGAGACGGGTAACAAAATGGTGAAGGGTCTGAGGACTGAAACATATCAGGAGAGACTTCAGGAACTTAATTTGTACAATCTGGAGGAAAGAAGTGAAAGAGGAGACATGACTGAAAACTAGTGGTGCACCAAAATGAAAATTCTGGTGCTGAAACCAAAACTTCAGGATGCACTTGGCCGAAAACCGAAATGTCTGCATGTGTGAAGGTGGGGAGGCTCAATTTTTTTTTTTTATTTTTTTATTTTAAACTTATGATTTTATTGCTATCACATAGGGGAAAATAATCCCATATGTGACGGCAAGTAAGTGAGAGGTCCTCTTTCTAGGGGGAGGGGGTGGGCAGGGGGGCAGTGTGTGCAAGGAGGGGGCAGGAGAGGAGCACTGTATATAGACAGGCTCCCTCACTTGCCGCTGCTACATATCATTGCTGATTTTTAAATGCAGTTGCCGGCTTGTGTTTTTCTTCACTTTATAGCTCCGAGAAGGGGCTGTCATAAAGTAAAGGGGCGGGCGGCCACTTGGTAATGTCACTGGGTGACCCCGCCCTTTTTTAATTTTAACGGCAGGGCGAATGACTGCTCTGTCACTGAGCTATAGTGAAGAAGAAAAAAGCCGGCAATTGCATTTAAAAACTGGCAGTGACATTTAGCGGCGGCAAGTGAGGAAGCCTGTCTGTATACACTGCTTACCTATTCTCCTTCTCCGCCGCCCCCCCACCCCACTGCCTTCTGCAGTACACACAGCCCCCCAAACTCCCCAGCCAAATAGTCGGTCTGCTCCTCACTGGGACCAGTTCTCTCGTTATTGGCACCTGTATTGAGCTATTTTCGGCGGATGTGTTTTGGTGCTTCCCTAACTGAATCCTTTAAATACATTCGGGGGGGGATAAGGTTGAAGAGGACAGTATTTTCAATATGAAACTAAGATCAAGGGGAAGCAGGGACATAACCACAAACTAACTGGAGGAAAGTTCAAAACTAATCTTAGAAAGTATTATTTTACTGAAAAATTATTTGATGCTTGGAATAGGCTTCCACCAAAGGTAGTGAATCAGTCAACAGTAAGTGAATTCAAACATGTTTGGGACAAACATAGATCTATACTCAGACAAACAACAAAAAAATACAAAAAACATGTATATATTAAAAAAATAATAATAATGGACCAATAGGTCTTTTTTTCTGCCGTCATTTTTCTACTGTATGTTTCTATTGCTAACTTCAGTAGGCCTGGTTCATACTAACATAGAATGGGAATGTTCACTTGATTTGTGTGGCTGACCACTTCAACAAATTCATCAAAAGATGAGGAAACACAGGACAGGACAAAGGGAAGCAATGCTGGTGTTTTAGTGCAGAATAAAACTAGGATAGGAGAGTAAATGCTTCTTACAAAGTTATTTATATGAGTAACTATAATGCTGTAGTAGACCGAAATGTGAAAAGTTTAAGCCATGGGTCTCCATTAGTCCTTCCACTGTATTGCTAGCATACTGTATTCTTAGAAAATTTGGCTTCTGGGCACACTATAGCTGACTGTGTATTTATTAGCAAATGTCATAGTTTGCATTGATTCAGAGGTTCTTTGGTATTAAATATTTATATGTGAAAATTGTTTAATAATAACTGTGATGCCCACATAAACATTACGGGATATATATCTTTATTTCAGAAACAAACATTGACAAAGCAGCCGTCTACTTCCAGCACTGCCTCTAGTCGAAAGAAAGATGGGACCCTGCAAAGGCTTGGGGAATTCTTACAGAGCTCTCCTTCGATTTTCCAGCATAAAGGTATTAACCCATCTGATATGTTCAGTTTCATTCAGGAGCTGTTCTGATTCTCAGTAGATTTTACATTCATTGATAATGCTCAAATTTAACTGTGTTTACTTTCAAAGCCAAAAAATTGCTGGGAACAATTGCGGCCCCGAAGACGACAGATATGATCTCTGGAAATAAAGAGGAGAGTAAACCTAAGAAGACCAGGAGAAAGTTGTACACTGCTGAAATCTCAGCTCCACTAGACATCCCTGCTTCTGCAGTAAGTATATGATCACAATGTATCTTGGGAAGTACCACTTTCTCTTTTAAAAGTGAAATTAGAAGACATTTGGTCACTTACAAGGTGAGACCAATGTGAACCAGGCATACAGTAGCTGTTAAGTTGTATGACAGGTATTGTTATCTCTAAAGCCTTAATTTAGATATTGACATCTTAAAGTGGTTGTAAAGTTAATTTTTTTTTTCCTAAGGTAAAAAACATGGGTATACTTGCTTGCTCTGTGCAATGGTATAACAGAGCAGCTTTGAATCGCCTCTTCTGGGATCTCCCACCCGTGCTGTAGGCTCCTCCTCTTCCGTGTATGCCACCATAGGAAGCGCTTCCTATGGTGGCAAACATGCGGGTTTGTCCATTGACACACACACCTACCTGCCCCCCACTTCCCCCTCACTGGGTGAGGCAATGGCTTCCACTGCACTCAGCCAGAAACAGGCACTGAAAGGGTTTTAGTCTTAATGCATAGAAAGCAGTAAGGTAAAGAAAAAAAAAAAACCTTATGACTTTAGAACCACTTTAAGTTCATACACTTGTTATATTAGGCCAATTTAGTCAAGAATAAGTCACCAGAATCATCAAAAACATGCAATCCTACCTCCACCCCCAACACCAATTTCATCATATGGTTATACAAAGCCACTACTGATAATGTAATACCACTGCAAGTTTCAGTTATTCCTTGGGCCCCGGTTTATATTAAACAAGCATAAACTGTAGTCAACCAGGTTTGCTTGCAGTCACAGCCAGCAGCAACACATTCACAAAAGTTAACATTAAGTGTAGAATATGAATTTCAGGAAAGGTTATGTGTTTTTTCTTATGTTTGGAAGCCTGTGATATTAATTAATAAATAAGGAGGATTTAGATTTGTGCAGCTAAATCTTAGGATTTCCTATTGTGAGTATGTAAGAGCACTGCCTAACCTACAACATTTACAGGTTTGGTGGCTGTGTAGTAGTTCCCAGGTTTGATAGGGTGGGCTTGCTTTAAGGACCATGACTATCTGTGAACTTGGAAAGGCAAAATCTTGCTATTGATGCCTGCTTGAGTGATTTAGAATAATATACCCCTTACGAAGATGGTGGAATGATCAAATTTTAGGCGTATGTTAATTTACTCTAAAGGCAGTAGAAGAATAGGCTATGGGCTAATGGACTGATACCTAGCCCTTGAGGACCAGGACTTTCCTCATTATCCATCAGGAAACCTAGTTGTTGCTTGAAATTACAGATTATGGGTGACTGTCATGTAGTGTATTTGGGTACCTTAAAGTGGTTGTAAACACAAATACCCAGTGAATTGGCTGGCCTCAGGTGATACACAAAGATGAAAAAAAAATCCTCCTACATAAGTTGTAATTCTTTACCTGCAGTCTACTCTACAGTGGTTCAAAGGCCAGAATTTATAAAGATGTCTGAGAGTTAGAAAAAAGGTGAAGAGCTGAGATTACACTCTGCAGAACTCAGTGAGGAGAGCTTTGAGAACTGATTGGAAGGAAATGACACAACCCTTCCACACAGCATGCAGGAGCAGAGCTGAGGCTTTCAATCTGCTGGAGTTCCCTCCCCTGTCACCATTTTTCTCTTGGTGTCATAAAAACTTGTCCTAAGTAATTTATAGTGATAGAAGAATAAAGCAGCAGGTAGAAATGACACTTGGTGCTCTTATTGAGACAAGTATATAGTAGAGATATGTTTTGTTCATATTTCATGTTTGAGGTTTACAACCACTTTAATTCTAAAATGTTGTGGCTTTAGAAATGCTTTAGATAGTACGAGAATAGAAATACCTGTGTGGGTTCTTTTTTTTTTTTTTGTAAGCGAATGTAGAAAAGCTGATCACCTGTGGAATGCCTATTCTATATGACCATAACAGTCTGCCTTAGATTTTGAGTGATTTTGCTCTCTAAATGTATTTTGATTGTTTCGTAATATCATTGGGTAAATTAAAGAGAGTACTAATGCAGCTCTTTTGCTTTCCCATAGATCATTATGGACACTAAGGAAAAGGAAAGTGACCACCTTATAATGAAGAGAAGGCTTAGAACCAGAACAGCTAAATAAACCTGATCTTTTTCTACTCTTTATTTCTGGTGTATTCATATAACACATGTAGATATGCCTATTTCCTATGTTTTTGTACAGATGTTAATTACCTACATTTTATTATTGTAAGTAAGTGTATAGTTGGAATATTTTATTTCCTTATTTTTTTCCATTTAAATATAGTTATTGTGCATTTCTTTATACACCACAATGTAAACTTTTGTCAATATTACTTTATAGCAAAGCCTTTGCTTATTGTTTTTCAAAACAAATTCTGTAAAATCGCAAATTTCACTGGTATCATTGATGAAAATTTAAGTTTAAACACAATTTTTGGCCTTGAAAATTATTCATTGTCATTTAGAGTTCTGGTCTTAGATTTTATTTTACTCTTTGGTCTGTAAAATTGTGACCACACGCGCCCATATTCCACAGCTTTTCTTTTGTTTAGAGCAGTATTATGGAACATATGCAATATAAATGAATAAGTACCAAGCAGTACAAATATTCCTAGTGATAAAACATAAAATCATAAGCCGTGCGCTACTATAAAGACATCACATAAATTCCAACTATACACAAAAAAAAGTTAAACAAAAATGCTCATCTTATGTATTTATATCAAACAATATATCTTGAAAGATCAACACCATTTACTGTGACAAAGCAGAAGAGGTCTCAAGTGTTCATTTATTCTCATAGATATCCTTCTTGTCCAATAATCTAACCGCGTCATCTATCACTTTCTCATTCTGTGTTAATGATTCTACTTTTACATAGTCACCACGTGCCGATAACACTTCAACGGCAATAGTGTGCTCTCACCTTTTTAATAGACCTCACAAGTAGGTGTAATGCGCTTGCCCCTTGTAGTGGGGACCCCTATACCACAGATGTGATGACTTCTTCCAATCCACTGGTGTTTCGCAATCCTTGGGTGGATATTGCTAAAACAGTCAAAAAAAACCTCCTCTTCACCTCCTTTTTTCTAACTCTCAGACAAGCTTTAATATAGTGCTCTCCAAATAAAAAAAAACACAATTTTTTACTTAAAAATAGAATACACTCAACTTTTTTGGTGCACAGAACAGGTGCACACAGTATACAGACATGTATTGTTGAAACCAAATAACAAAATGGCCAACTGTACACTTCTGGTTAGTGCGGCTTGACGTCACCGTCTCCTCTCAATGTGTTACGTCATTTGATCGTGTGACTTTATCAGGGGAAAGATTGATTGAGAAGCACCAGTGGATTGGAGGAAGCCATCACATCTGTGGTATTGGGGACCCCTCTACAAGGGACAAGCGCAAAAGACCTTCTTGTGAGGTCTATTAAAAAAGTGAGAGCATACTATTGCCGGTGAAGGGTTATTTGCATGTGGTGACTATATAAAAAGGAGAATTATTAATGCAGAATGAAAAAGTGATAGATGACACGGATGGATTATTGGACAAGAAGGATATCTATGAGAATATACTGTATGAACACTTGAGACTCTTTTAAGCTTTGTCACAGTAAATAGTGTTGATCTTTAAACATATATTATTTGATATCAATACATAAGATATACACATGCTCATTTATTTTTTTGGTATAGGAATAATTTTTACTGCATGGCACTTATTCATTTATTGTGTTTATGCTCTGTTGTAACACAAATGGTTTAAGCAGCAGTACTTACATTAGTTACACATAGTCAAACACTAAAGAATAGGGACACTCTCTTTTTGTCTTTCTTTTTCAGTTTGCACATTTACAGATAAATTCACAAAGTTCTTTTAGGGTGATTGCACTGAGGTTTTCTCTTATCCTAATTTGGTACATATGATTGTAGTTTTGTTTTTTTTCAAATTTCCCAGTACTGAACAAAAGACAGATTTTTTTTCTATAACTTGAAGCAAAAAGTCATTTCCTACAATGTAAAACTTCTAAGACGCAATGGTATGATTCTAAGTTATTCATATAAATTCCAGTGTTTGCGAGATTAGGCGTGATTTAGGGTAATTGATTAGTGTTTGATGTGTTAGGTGAAATTTGCTCACATAACTATTATCCTCAGACAATGAATGAGAAGAATGAATCAGTATGATTAAAATATGTCCCTTCAACCCTTCAATGCCTGCACTGATCAGTGTGTGCAGTCAACATGTAATCCCTTTTGTTTCCAGCTTAATCAACATTTTGACATATATTGTACAAGCTTAACAATATGCGTGTATAGCCAAATTTGCTAAAGATGAAAATCTGGTTCAGTCACATAAGAGCTTTCTCAAGTTTTGCATGTATCAGAAGGAGAGATTCTTTGGCGGTTGTGACACAGTAATACATGCACATGTACATCTGCACAGCTGGAACATACAGGTGAAACTCGAAAAATTAAAATATCGTGCAAAAGTTAATTTATTTCAGTAATGCAACTTAAAAGGTGAAACTAATATATGAGATAGACTCATTACATGCAAAGCAAGATAGTTCAAGCCGTGATTTGTCATAATTGTGATGATTATGGCTTACAGCTCATGAAAACCCCAAATCCACAATCTCAGAAAATTAAAATATTACATGCAATCAATAAAACAAGGATTGTACATAGAACAATATCGGACCTCTGAAAAGTATAAGCATGCATATGTACTTGGTTTGGGCCCGGGGTTAACACCAGCAGATGACATGGCTCCCCAAATCAGCACAGACTGCGGAAACTTCACACTGGACTTCAAGCATCTTGCAGTGTGTGCCTCTCCATTCTTCCTCCATACTCCGGGCCCTTTGTTTCCAAATGAGATGCAAAAGTTGCTCTCATCAGAAAAGAGGACTTTGGACCACTGAGCAACAGACCAGGTCTGTTTTTCTTTAGCCCAGGTAACATGCTTCTGACGTTGTTTGTTGTTCAGGAGCAGCTTGACAAGAGGAATACGACATTTGAAGCCCATGTCCAGGATCCATCTGTGTTGTGGCTCTTGATGCACTGACTCCAGCCTCAGTCCACTCCTTGTGAAAGTCCCCAACACTTTTGAATGGCCTTTTCCTGACAGTCCTCTCCAGGCTGCGGTCATCCCTGCTGCTTGTGCACCTCTTTCTTCCACACTTTTCCCTTCCCCATAACTTTCTATTAATGTGCTTCGATACAGCACTTTGGGAACATCCTACTTCTTTTGCAATTACCTTTTGAGGCTTTCCCTCCTTATGGAGGGTGTCAATGATGGCTTTCTGCACAACTGTCAGGTCAGCAGTCTTTCCCATGATTGTGATCCCTACTGAACCAGACTGAGAGACCATTTAAAGGCTCAGGAACCCTTTGCAGGTGTTATGGCTTAATTAGCTGATTAGAGCGGGACACTTTGAGCCTACAATATTGCACCTTCTCACCAAATTTTCTGAGATTGTGGATTTGGGGTTTTCATGAGCTGTAAGCCATAATCACAATTATGACAAATCACAGCTTGAACCATCTTGATTTGCATGTAATGAGTCTATCGCATATATTAGTTTCACCTTTTAAGTTGCATTACTGCAATAAATTAACTTTTACAGGATCTTCTAATTTTTTGAGTTTCACCTGTATGTCAGCATGGGGAACTGTGCCAGGGAAGATGCACCTAAAATTGCTGTTATTAGGCCCCTTTGACTTGGCCAGTTTATTGCAGCCTCCGGATTCCTGCGGCAAGAATCTTCAGATTCTTGCTGCAGGAATGACCGGGTTATTGATTAGCATCTGCCGCTCAGTCTATTTACATTAATGGCGGGCCACACACAGAACGATTAGCTGCAGTTCCGAGACAGATGTCTGAGCCTGGACACAGTCAGATTTTCTTCTTTTTGAGCAGTATTATGGAACATATGATTGTAAGTTTTTTCCAAACTTTCTACAAAAAAACTGAACTAAGACAGATTTTGTGTCCAGGCTTGGACATCTGTAGCATTTTAACACACAATGCACTAGACTGCACATAACACGAGCATTATGGTTTGAACAGGACACATAGAAAACAATTGTTTTCTAAGTGTCCATGTGATGACTTGCTTCTTCCAGTGCTGTAAAACGCAAGTCAATGCCATATGTGTGAACAGGCTCTAAATCACATAAAACAATTCCCATATATCTTGAGCTGAATGCATTCCAAAAACATGCAATGATTGTACCAGTGTATAGTAAATGAATGAATTTGACTGTAGAGTGCTTGTTGGAGTTTCTTTTTAACAATTTTGTTATATCGGTCATACTATAAATTCAGAAGAATGCCTTACCATTGTTCTATGTAACTGCTGTAAGGTACATTATACTCTACACTGTTACAAATAGCCTCACAGGATACCATCCATTTTCATTGATATAATGTCGAATATCCTATTATTTTGCATATATGTAGATTCTATCATAAAAAGACCTATTATTTGTTGACCTTGGTGTAGCTCCCTTTTATTCTGATACACGCTTCTTGAATGTTATGTTACTATTGAATTGCGTTTTTATTATCTGAGAAATGAATGAAGGCACATAGTGATACTATTTAGATACATTATATAATAGATTCTTGCAGTACAATGAAGAAATGGTCTCTGCATTAAACTGTCTTTGAAAAAATAAAATGTCCATCCACTTGGATTTTGCTTACCATTGGATTGATTACTAAAAGAATAAAAATGTTCACATAATCTTGCCAATACACTGATACTCTGGTGAAATTTCCACTAATTCCTGATAAACTAGCTGGAATTCACATAATGCTTGGTCTTGATAGAGCTGGGCAGAAAATCGGTGGGTGAACAGCAGCTTCCTCCAATTAGAGGCAGCCCCACTGTTCAGGCTTTTTGAGAGGCGGCAGCAAAGAGATACATGACCAACAAATATAATTGCATTGACAGTAATTAGTCGAGTAAATGCCACTAAGTTTCCCTACTTTGAAAACAAATATTTCACAAGATACAGAGTCCATGCAAAAGTAAGAAGTCCTTTTTATAGAACTAAAAGGTTTGTACAGTATATGCAGTAGACAGGTACTAAGGTAAGTTAG